TTACTGTCTCTTGTTGTTTTATCATATTTTCCTTCTCTCTTTGTTTTGCCTTGTGTTTATTCGATTTATTCTTTCTTCTTTCTTTATTATGTGTGTTTGCTTTTATTGTTTCTTCTAGTAGATCTAACATCATCTTCTTCCTCCTCTTGTTTAGACTTGTTTTTTTTTTATTTATTTGTTCATGCTCTCTCTTTCACCTGTACAGTCCGGTTCATGTCTCCTCGGGCTTCCTCCTCCTCACCTCTCACCATCCTCTTGATTTTATTTTCACTCTTACCTATCATCCCTTCTTCCTTGCCCTTCACACCAACCTATCTCTTTGCTTTCCTCTACCCTCCTCTTCTGCCTCTCCTTCCTCCTTGCCCCTCTCCCTTTCTGGACCCTCTCCTTCCTCCTTACCTCTCCCCTACCTTGGTTCTTTCCTCTCTCACCTCCCCCTCACCCCATCTTCCTCTACTCCTCTCTTCAACCTTCTCCTCACCTTTCCCTTCCATTACATGTCCCTTCCTAATCCTTACTCCTCCCCTTCTTCTTACCTCCTACCCTGCTCCCCTCCTTCACCTTCCCTCCTCCTCCCTCTTCGTCTACGCTGTCTCCCTTTTCTCCCATTTTCCTTTTTACCTCCATTCTTCCTCTTACGTTACCTCCTTCACCCTCATACGCTGCCTTCCCCTCCTGGCCTCCCTCCTCTTATGATGCTTCCTCCTTCACCCCCCCCCACCTTCTTCTACTCCTGGTCTCCGGGACAATGACGGGGTCCAGAGAGCTCTTAGAAGGAGGTCCTTTAGTTTCTTTCTCACTCTTCTCTACGTTTTTTTCAGAATCATTATTAAGAACCAACCTATTACTAGGGTTCCTTCAAACTTTTTATTTTTATTTTAATATAGAGAGAGAGAGAGAGAGAGAGAGAGAGAGAGAGAGAGAGAGAGAGAGAGAGAGGAGAGAGAGAGAGAGAGAGAGAGAGAGAGAGAGAGAGAGAGAGAGAGAGAGAGTCCTATTGGTTACGACACTAAAAACTTTATTAAAGGTCAAGTTCACATAAGTTATAAGTTTCTCCCAAGACAACTGACAAGACATTGGTTGACCTTAGCTCTGACCTGTCCTCACTACACACCTTCACCAGATTTCTCAACTATATTCCCTATTTGTCTGTCTGTCTGTCTGTCTGTCTGTCTGTCTATTACACCCACCCCCCCCCCACACACACACACACACACACACACACACACACACACACACACACGCACACCTACACACACACACAACACCACAATTGCTTGTTTCCTGTCATCCTCCTCCCTTACTCCTCTCATTAACTCATAAACACACGAGGAATAAATCATGACATGAAGACGACCTTTTGCTTCCTCTTCCTTTATATTTTCTCCTTTCTGTTCACACTACTTGTATCTTCCTTCAACTGCACCTGGAAAAAGTTCAGGTTCCAGCGTTTCTTTTTCCTTCATTATCTTCCTAAATGTATCAATCTCTTCCTCCTCCTCCCTTTTTCCTACTACCCCTCCTCTGTATTCTTCACCCTTTCCTCCTCCTCCTCCTCCAGATGAGACCCTAGGGAAGGACCCAGAAGGGCTAGTGAGAGACAGATTGGTAGTCGAAAGTTGACGGAGACAGAAGGTGAGGGACTGAGGGGCTAGAAGGGTGGGGGGAGTTTGGGAGGGGAGATGGGTTACTGGGGGTTAAGTCTCTGAGGGGTTAAGTCCTGGAAGAGGTAAGTCTCTGGAGGGTTGTCTCTGGAGGGTTAAGTCTCTGGAGGGGTTAAGTCCTGGAGGGGAGTCTCGAGGGGTAAGTCTCTGGAGGGTGGGTAGTCTCTGGAGGTAAGTCTCTGTAGGGAGAGTCTATAGGAGTCTGTGAAATCTCTAGGAGGGGGAGGCCAGCGCCAAGTACTGATAACAAGTAATAAAGAAGGGACAGGAGTCAACCAGGTGAGGTAGGTACAGTACAGGTGAGGTAGGTACAGTACAGGTGAGGTAGTTACAGTACAGGTGAGGTAGTTACAGTACAGGTGAGGTAGTTACAGTACAGGTAATAATGACAACGAATGTACATTACTTAGCGTCCCTACTTCTTCTCCCCCTTAACTGGTACCATCGAGGAGAGGCACTAGTCTCAAGGTCGTCCTCGAGAGGTAAACAGGAGGGGTAGTTGTAAAATAGTACGAGTCTGTCCAGTCCTTATCCTCAGGTAAACTCTAGGTGATACCAAACACTACCTGCCCTGGCCGAGGTTAGATTAGGTTAGGTTAGGTTAGGGTAAGCTTGGGTTGTCTGATTTTATTAGTTTCAATATTTTCGTTATTATTACAATTATATACAAATGTACTTTTCTAATTATTATTCTTTATTATTATTATTATTACAAAAGGCAATTGTAAGATGATTAAGACGTAAATAATCGAGGTAATACACCCAGCGCACACACACACACACACACACACACACACACACACAGGTACTCATGACATTATCCACCAACCTTCACAAAATCCACTTAAGTGCTACTTTGGCAATAAAACGTGAAATCGATACGATTCTGGAGTCAACTGCACCACTGTGAAGGAGGAGGCGGAGGCACAGGTGCAGGTGTCGAGAACAAAGGTGGAGTTTGGGTAACATGATTTACCCTTGTTAAAGTGTGAAGGTGTCAAGGAGAGAGAGAGAGAGAGAGAGAGAGAGAGAGAGAGAGAGAGAGAGAGAGAGAGAGAGAGAGAGAGAGAGAGAGATGGGGGGTAACAGGAGGGAGAGAGGTGGAAGAAGGGAAGACAGGAAGAGAGGATGAAGAAGTGGAAGATAATATGTTGGAAAGCTTAGTCCAGTCTTACCCAACGTATGGAACAACGAACAACGGATAGCGGAAACGAACAACGGATAGCGGACAACAAACAACGGATAGCTAACAACGAACAACGGATAACAGAAAACGAACAACGGATAGGCGGACAACGGATAACGGACAACAAAGGATAACGAACAACGGATAACGGACAACGGGCGATGGATAACAGCAAGAATAAAGAAGAGATAAATACAGAATAAACGAGAAATTGAAGATGAGAAGTGGGGTTATACTAATAGGGTTTATAGTTCAGGGTTACACTAGGGGGGGGTGAAGTAGGTGTGGATGAGTGTGGGAAAAGAGTGTGGAGGAGGGAGTGGAGGAGAATGCGGATAAGTGTGTGGATGGTGGATGAAGGGAGGAGGAGGATATGGAGGAGAGTAGGAATAGAATGTGGATAAGAGTAAGGAGGAGGGTGAAAGGAAAGTTAAGCAGTAGTATATAAAACTGTTAGACTGGATTATTTAACTACTTAACTACTTAAACATTACCAGTAACAACAACACTAAAATGAACAAAACGACAAAACTACAACCTATAATTATCCTCTTCCACAAATATATAATCACACAAGGGACCTCGTATGTTATCTTATACAAACTCTATGAGTCCCATGATAAGTATTCACTCTTAATCACGAGACACAAGTAAGGAAAGTTAAATTGGTGATAATAGTAGAAGATGAACAATAGAGACACGATAAGCAAATTGCCAAGGTTCATTCTTATACAGGAGAGCGTCTGATGTATACATGTTACCTTGCAGATTTGCGTGGAGATCGTTTGTGTGTGTGTGTGTGTGTGTGTGTGTGTGTGTGTGTGTGTGTGTGTGTGTGTGTGTGTGTGTGTAAAGAGGTAAGATTGTCCTCACTTGTAGGAGACCTTGCATATCAACAAGTGAGGACAATATTACAACAGCAAGATTGTCCTCACATAAGGTAGCCAGGACTCCCATTCACATCACACGATCTCCCAGAAAATATTTAAGGTAGTGTGTTTACATTTTTCTGAGACACACACCTGTATATCCAGCGTTAAAAATAAACATGTAATAATTCTTAACCTTAATCAATATGTGTCGTTGTTAGTGGAGGATGATTCATTACCCACAACCATTACCACTATCACAACCATTACCACTATCACCACCATTACCACTATCACAACCATTACCACTATTACCACCATTACCACTATCACAACCATTACCACTATTACCACCATTACCACTATCACAACCATTACCACTATCACAACCATTACCACTATTACCACCATTACCACTATCACCACCATTACCACTATTACCACCATTACCACTATCACAACCATTACCACTATTACCACCATTACCACTATCACCACATTACTCACTATTACCACCATTACCACTATCACAACCATTATTACCACTATTACCACCATTACCACTATCACCACCATTACCACTATTACCACCATTACCATCACAACCATTACCACTATTACCAATTATTACCACTATCACCACCATTACCACTATTACCACCATTACCACTATCACAACCATTACCACTATCACAACCATTACCACTATTACCACCATTACCACTATTACTACCATTACCACTATTACTACCATTATCACTATCACCATATTACCACTATTACCACCATTATTCATTATTACCACTATTACACTATCACCACCATTACCACTATTACCACCATTACCACTATCACATACCATTACCACTATTACCAACATTACCACTATCACAACCATTACCACTATTACCATATTACCACTATTACCACCATTACCACTAATCACCACCATTATTCACTATTACCACCATTACCACTATCACAACCATTACACTATTACCACCATTACCACTATTATCATCACTGCCGCTCACCACTACCACATCTTCACAATATCATTACCACCATCATCACTGCCACATTAACATCATTAGCATCACTACCACCACCACTAGTGCTGCTTCTACCGCCATCACACACACACACACACTACACGACCGCCTCTCTTCAACAACTAAACTCCACAAAGAAAACAAAGACATTCCTTCCCGGGTAAAAAGAAAAAAGATAACACCACCACGACCAACAGACAAATAGGTGATCGTGCAGCCCCTGGAGCCGTCAGCGCGCATAATGATGATATTTCCGCGAAGAGTGAGAAAAGTTTGTCGGTGAGAAAGTGCGTAAATCGCACTGGATATCGACAAAGTGCGACAGCTCAACCTCGGTGGAAGTGGTGGGGCCGGGTGTGGGCTGGTGAACAAAGTTGTGGTCTGGTGAACACAGGTGTGGGCTGGTGAACACAGGTGTGGGCTGGTGAACACAGGTGGGCTGGTGAACACAGGTGTGAGCTGGTGAACACAGGTGGGCTGGTGAACACAGGTGTGGGCTGGTGAACACAGGTGGGCTGGTGAACACAGGTGTGGGCTGGTGAACACAGGTGTGGGCTGGTGAACACAGGTGTGTGGGGTGAGAAAGGTGTGGGCTGGTGAACACAGGTGTGGGGCTGAACACAGGAGGGGCTCGTGAACACAGGTGGGCTGGACACAGGTGTGGGTTGGGTGAACACAGGTGTGGGCTGGTGAGCACAGGTGTGGGCTGGTGAGCACAGGTGTGCTGAACACAGGTGTGGGCTGGTGAACACAGGTGGGCTGTGAACACAGGTGGGCTGGTGAACACAGGTGTGGGGCTGGTACACAGGTGGCTGGTGAACACAGGTGTAGGCTGGAACACAGGTGTGGGCTGGGAACAGGTATGGGCTGGTGAACACAGGTGTGGGCTGGTGAAACAGGTGGGGCCGGTGAACACAGGTGTGGGCATACATGTGGGCTGGTGAACACAGGTGTGGGCTGGTGAACACAGGGCTGGGTGAATACATGTGTGGGCTGGTGAACACAGGTGTGGGCTGGTGAACACAGGTGGGGCTGGTGAATACATGTGTGGGCTGGTGAACACAGGTGTGGGCTGGTGAACACAGGTGGGGCTGGTGCACACAGGTGGGCTGGGAACAAAGGTGTGGGCTGGTGAACACAGGTGTGGGGCTGGTGAACACATGTGGGCTGGTGAACACAGGTGTGGGCTGGTGAATACAGGTGTGGGCTGGTGAATACATGTGTGGGCTGGTGAACAAGGTGTGGGCTGGTGAACACAGGTGTGCTGGTGAATACATGTGTGGGCTGGTGAACACAGGGGCTGGAACACAGGTGTACAATGGGCTGGTGAACACAGGTGTGGGCTAGTGAACACAGGTGTGGGCTGGTGCACACAGTGGGCGGTGAACAAAGGTGTGGGCTGGTGAACACAGGTGGGCTGGTGAACACATGTGTGGGCTGGTGATCACAGGTGTGGGCTGGTGAACTCACTCTTGAACTGGTGAACACAGATGAACTGGGTGAACACACGTGTGAACTGGTGAACACACGTGTGAAATGGTGAACACACGTGACTAATGAACACACGTGAAATGGTGAACACACAAGGAGAAGCCATCATTATGTGATGATCATTAATGTCAACAAACTTGAAAATTTGGAAACCATGACAAACTTAGGTTAAATAAATATATAATAATAATAATCATCAATAAATACATACACACATAATAATAATATATATACATAACAACAGTACAGATATGGCCACAGATCAACAAACAGAAAATGTAAACAAATGGGTAAAGCTGTCACCAGTATGGTAATAAGTCGAGGTTCAACTCTCAAAAACACCTGAAATTAGGTCATATAGTGTTCTAGTGAGAGAGAGAGAGAGAGAGAGAGAGAGAGAGAGAGAGAGAGAGAGAGAGAGGGGGGGGGGGAGAGAGGAATAATATGTCCGTTTTCCTTTGGACAATGTTTGACCTTAACCTTTAGGTTGTGACCTTGACGGACGGACGAATGCCCTCCAGTAGTTCATAACAAACAACAAAAAACATTACACTATTACCCACAGCGGACACTACACTACACCTCTCAGTACCAAAACAATACCCATTATATAAAACGAATATAACACCCAGATTAATCCCTGAGCAAGAGGACGAAATATGGTGAGAAATATTTGGAATTGTTTCGCATAATCAGACACAAGAGGAGTGAGAAGCAGAGGGCAGTGAAGTGACTGGATCCAAGATGGGCGGAGGCGGTAGCAGAAACTCTTGCCCTCCTCCTCCTCCTCCTCGTTGGGCATCTCTTTATATTTTTACGAGACTTATTTCAATAGGTGGGGCATCCGAGGCGTATCATTAGTTGGGACTGGGGGGTGACTCCTGCCCCTAACGGCGTTTCTATCGACCTCGCCTCTGCTGATCTTACCTTGTTACACCTTGTTAAGTCAATACAAGCATATGATGATCAAAGGACGAGGCGAAGGGAGGAGTGGGTAGGGGACGAGGTTCAACACTGGCCTGGCCAGATGAAGTGTGTGTGTGGTGGTAGAGGGTGTGTGGTGGTGGTAGAGGGTGTGTGGTGTGGTGTGGTGGTAGAGGGTGTGTGTGGTGTGGTGGTAGAGGTGTGTGGTGGTAGAGGGTGTGTGGTGGGTAGAGGGTGTGTGGTGGTGGTAGAGGTGTGTGTGTGTGGTGGTAGAGGTGTGTGGTGGTAGAGGGGTGTGGTGGTGTGGTGGTAGAGGTGTGTGGGTGTGTGTGGTGGTAGAGGGTGTGTGGTGGTGGTGGGGAGGGGTGTGTGTGTGTGGTGGGTAGAGGTGTGTGTGGTGTGGGTGGGGTAGTGGGGGTGGTGTGGGTAGAGGGTGTGGTGGGTAGGTGTGTGTGGTAGAGGTGTGGTGGTGGGTAGAGGATGGTGGTGGTGGAGAGGATGGTGTGTGTGGGTAGAGGGGTGGGGTGTGTAGAGGGGTGTGGGGTGGGTAGAGGGTGTGTGGTGTGGTGGTAGAGGGTGTGTGTGTGGGTAGAGGTGGTGTGGTGTGTGGGTGGTAGAGGGTGTGTGTGGTGGTAGAGGGTGTGTGGTGGTGGTAGAGGTGTGTGGTGTGTGGTGGTAGAGGGTGTGTGTGGTGGGTGGTAGAGGGTGTGTGTGTGGGTGGTAGAGGGGTGTGTGGTGTGGTGGGGGTGTGTGTGTGGTGTGGTGTGGGGTGTTGGGTGTGGTGGTAGGGTGTGTGTGGTGTGGTGGTGGGGTTGTGTGGTGGTGGGGTGTTGGGGGGTGTGTGGGGTGTGTGGTGTGTGGTGTGGTAGAGGGTGTGTGTGGTGGTAGGGGTGTGGTGTGGTGGTGAGGGTGTGTGGTGGTAGAGGGATGTGTGGTGTGGTGGTAGAGGTGTGTGTGGTGTGTAGACACTGAACTCAAGAAGACATATTGCTCACGGATAAACACTTGAGGCAGTTATGTCTTTCCTCCTCCCTCCATCCCTCCTTCCCCTCCACTCCATCCCTCCTCCCTCCTCTCCCTATTTAAGTAACTCCACAACAAGTGTCATAAATTGGGTAAGTATGCCACGTGACTCGACCTCAGGTTTAAGAGACAGGTAATGACAGCAGGACCACCTCACGCTACCTCCCAAATGAGATAATGACCCTACCTTGGACCAACCCATATCACTGTTGATCACCGCCCACACCCGGCCGTGTGACTGCTTTCAACACCTCCTCACCACCATTAACCACTAAACCTTCACCCTATTACCACCACCACCACCTACTACTACTAACATAACCATTCAACATAACACTGGGTGGGAACGAGAGGATGAATGAATGAACGAATGAATGAACGAATGAATGAATGAATGAATGATGATGAATGAATGAATGAATGGAATGAATATAAGGTGAGAATAGATGAGTGAATGATGGGTATGAAGGACTGAATGGTGGAATGAGTCAATGAGGAGCAGAGATAAAGAATGGGTTTGATCAGAATCGGCTAGCTTACAAAATAGTGGCGATACTTTGCTTTTTAAATAAGCATAGAAAACTTAATTCATATATGTATAAATGTTAAATCTAATACATACACATATATTAATATACATAGAAAATATATACAGGTATACATGTCCATTTACAACATCTATATACATCCAGGCCTAACGCTTGCACATTTCCACACATCCAGGTTGTTGCTACACCGTGCGCAGTGCAATTTAACGAAATTCATCCAGGACGATTTACGGCTGCACAGTCATTTTCTAGATATACCCACGTTAGGTGTATGGCCAGAAATAAAAGCAACATTCTTTTTCTAAACCGTGTTATGGATTCCAGGCAAAATATAAAAGCAACATATGATGATGGCTTTGGCTGCCCGTGTTCGGGTAGACTAGCTGTTTACCGTCGTTTGTATACCTGCACTCTCTCTCTCTCTCTCTCTCTCTCTCTCTTCTTATGCAATGCCAGATCGATCGACGTTTTGTATCTGAATATTCTGAAACTCGAAAAGAATAATTACAACACATTTAGGATGGTTTGTTTTTGACATGTGAACATGGAAGCAAATTACTGCGGCTTATGTAACACAATATAGAGTCGTAAATTAAGTCATAATTAAACGATGTAGCGTGCCGTCCACACACACACACACACACACACACACACACCAATAATCAACACAACAAGCGTCAATCTACTTCTCCTGACAACCATTGATCGTGGAGGGTGTGAGGTAAAGTCGCTTGCGTGATGGTAAGGCCAACGAGGTGTGGGGCTGTTACTGAGCGTTTGGTTCATTACGGTAGGAGTCCATCTGTATCTGTTAGCGTGTGTTGTACCTGAGAGGAGGGCGGTGGGTGTAGGGGAGGTGTAGAGGAGAGAGAAGGAGGGGAAGGAAGGAAGGAAGGAAGAAGGAGGTAGGGAGGGAGACTATACTATTAAACACGATCATTAAGACATATTTCCGTCCGCATGCGTTACTCAGTCTCCATTTCTTTCTCTCGAACCAACACTAATCTAACCTAACCTAACCTGATCTACTCTCACCTAACCTAACTAACCTCCTCAATACCTGTCACAATATCACACTTGAGCATCGAGATCATACGCTAGGGAATCGATGCGTCGACACTGGGACACTTAACTCTTTCTCGCTCGCCTCTGCTTTTACACACACACACACACACACACCTCATTTTGCATCTGTCTCTCTTCTCTGCCACCTACAGTAACTTTACCTGGTTAAACTGTTAATGAATCAATAATAATAATAACAATAATAATAACAATATAATTATTAATAATAATAATAATAATAATAATAATAATAATAAGTAATAATAATAATAAAATAATAATAATAAAATAATAATAATAATAATAATAATAATAATAATAATAATAATAATAATATATAATAATAATAATAATAATAATAAAATTATGATAATAATAATAATAAAAATAATAATAATAATAATAATAATAATAATAATAATAATAATAATAATAATAATAATAATAATAATATTGATGATGATAATAATAATAATATAATAATAATAATAATAATAATAATAATAATAATAATAAAAATAAAAATAAAAATAATGATGATGAGTGATGATGATAATAATAATAATAATAATAATAATAATAATAATAATAATAATAATAATAATAATAATAATAATAATAATAATAATAATAATAATAATAATAATAATAATAATAATAATAATAATAATAATAATAATAGCTCCTCACAAGCCATCGAGCGGGTCGGTTGCCTCCACACAACTCCATTACACATATCTAAACTTTAAACATCATGAAGAGCAAAGTTGTGGTTTCCATCAGTCGCCAGAGTGTCACCTAACCTTTGACCCTTGACAATATGCCTTGTCCTTTGACCTTACACCCACCGTCACCACCATAATCGTCAACACCACCACCAAGACATACGTGTTCCTGAGTCAAGACATTTCGGGTGAGATGTTGGTGGTATCTCCCTCTTGGTGAGATTAAATGAACATAAATTGATTTATTTTACGTGGACCATGTTGGTTATTAAAAGTTTATATGCGGTGGTTAAGCAGGATGTGGGCGATTAATGACGGTAACTTTAGTGCAAAAACAAAGGTCAAAATATACTTGTGAAATACTGTTATCCTTGTATACAATATAT